ATATCAGACATTTTCTGAGGACATGGTCTAACAGACCGAGTGCAAAACTTTTTTGTTTCACCGCTGACCTACCGGTATCGTTTTTATCGCTTTATTGAAAGGACCATTAAATCTATTTTCGCTGACGTGTGAAGAGTAAGTGTCTGATAACCTTTTGACCCTCAAGAGGAGGGTTAAACATGTATTTGTTGACTGTTAACAAAGGACTGAACTGCTTTTGCTATTAGAGCCCCCTCCACTCGCCCCTTGTTTTGAGAGAATTGTCATTCCTGTGCTGATGAGACTATTCTCCCTATTTGCAGGGTCACTTGACCTTCATAGATGGTATGACCTTGGCAGCATTCGAGGACTCTGGCTGGTATAAAGTGAACTACTCCATCGCTGACAGCTATAGATGGGGAAAAGGTAAGCAGCAAGCAATCTGGCGAAGCCAACAGGAATATGTGTGCTTCTTGATTCTCAGTAGGACAAACATGAAAAGCCATAGGAGAACGCTAGGCCTCTTCTTCTCTTTTATAGTTACTAGGTCCATCATACGACTTACCATGTTCCAGAGAATGGAGAGGTACACTGGACCAATGATCAAATCATAACTCATTTTACTTGAAATGATTTAAATAAAGGACAAATCTATCATTGGTCCTAAAATTTCAATCCTCTATGGGGTAATTTTGGGTTAGGGGGCTTTTATCTCAATGTATGGATCTTTAATGAGTTTGGGATTTAATCATTTATCACTTTACCATTTTGAAACTTATATGAAATAACGAGCCATATTATCAGTTCATTATTTCTGGTTTTAGGTCAGGGCTGCAGGTTTGGTCTAAAGAAGTACTGTAGTTCTGATGAGAACTCTTTCTTTTGCACTGGAAAGTAAGTGTTGGTGTCTACAGTCAAGTACTTAATGCATGTATGTTCACGTTAGTTAGAGAACGTGTGCACGTGGGAGCATTTCACTGTTTTTGTCGCTGATATTTCATCACTGACATGAATGCGGTAGAGTTCATTGCGTGGTTGTCAGCAAGGAAATAAAATGGGAACCGATCAATTTTCTTTTTTAACTGTCAGTGATATTTCATCACTGTCATGAATTCAGTAGAGTTAGTTACATGTATGTCGGCAAGTAAATAAAATTGATGTCAATCAATTTTTTCTTTTAACGTTTTTGGTTTTGCCCGCACACTTGGTAATAGAGTGGATATTTGGTTAAATTACATGTATGTGATATGCTGAGAAACTTATTTCAGGAAACATGGCTGCCATTATACACACAAGGACAGGGGCGTGTGCCACACAGACAGTTTTCTCTCTCCGTGTCGAGTGTACAAGTCTGACAAGGAGGTAAAGTGTCTAATTCATATTAAAATATTGATTTTTCTTTGGTATTCATTGCAATCTCCATGAGAAACCAAATCAGCAAAAGGTTAATGGAATCAGTTTGCATCTGCATACATAGTTTGATGTTTTCTTGAGATGTGTTGACAATATTTGCGGCATCGCATGATCTGAGCATTATGGGGAGCCCCGGGGTTACAAACATAAGCAGTTTAAAGATTTTAATCATTGATAGTTCAGAACTTGCAACTAGATTAAAAGAAACTAATTTCTTCATATGCATGGGTTTCAGTTTATAGTTTGCATACGTGAATATTAAAATCATGAATATTGTAATGAAATAATCAAGATCATTTTAAATATGTTAAATTCAAAGAGATTTAAACATTAAATATCAAGACTGTTAAAATACGTGTAAAGATGTTAGTGAGTCGGATGTTCATAACTCGGGAACATCCCCATACTCTGATACGGTGATGTGAACTACCACACAAATTTATATTCTGCCCTTGTCTCAAACTGCAGAATGCGTGCGTGAATGGGTTTCATGAGCATCATGCAGACAGAGTGCACCTAGAGGTATATGGCGACCAGAGCAAGTGCTTCATGTCGAACATAACAAGCCTGGTGAGTATCCATGCATGCACGGATGGTGATGCATTCCAAGGATACGTTACCGGGGACGTATGAGGAATTAAATTAATAGATGAGCAGATTTCTGTTGCTGTGAATCGCCACCTATAATGCTGGAATATCATATGGTATGTGAAACGTGGGAATGTAGTGTGACGAACGTTTCAACGATAAGCACATTTCTGTTTGCATGGCGTGAAAATTGTGCTATGTCACAGCATATGTCACACCTGGGGATGTAGTTTTGCAAAATATTTCGAAGATGAGCACGTTTTTATTTACGCAAAGTACAACACTAACGTTAGTACATTACAGGCTATATATGCTCTAACGTAGCTTGATAAGAAGGTATAGCACATGGCAAGGTGTGCCACTGGTGTGTTAGTTCATATAGTGATCCTATAAAGGGAGTAAATCTTAGTCAACCTATATATGTATGAAAACGGGAAAGTATGTCGGCAGAGATAAGTGTACACATGGAAACGTATTCAAATGAAAACTAATCGCACATGCATAGCAGTTTGAGTGTTTGAAGCATATAATGCAATGCATGTACAAATAGTAGTATATAGTGAGTAAAAATGTAAGAGGAGAGAGATCACGTAGGATTATAAGCAAGTATAACTACATTTTAATTTCTCATGGTTGACTTGTGTTTGTAGAAGGCAGAGAATGCGTCAGAGCTTGTTGGTCGTTGCTTTGAGCATCGCTGCCTAGACATACGCACACTGCAAGTGAAGGTTGACCATGAATGGTACAGCTGTCCTGACGTTGGATATCTCGAGGTACACTCAGACTCGCAGACAGTAGTAATGTTGGTAGTTAGTAGAAATTTCAAGCTTTATGGCCCCTTCTGTTGAATGATGTTTGCCATGTAGAGAATCATAGGACATTTTACTATGTGTGTATCACCTATTGGTAAACAGTTATGTTTTCCTGTTTCAACCAAGAGGAAACTTTTTGTAGCGAAACTATCTTTAGTCTCTCCCCGAGCACTCGAGTGCTTACGACAGTATATGTCTATCTCGATTAGGTTTCCGTCTACAGAGGAGTGATGCTCTGCCCTGATGCAGAGATCCTGTGTCATGATTTCACTAACCAAACTGCAACTACACAATTGTTGCCAACTACTGAGCAGACGACTGTGATTACCGGTAAGCATGGCTACGACGCAACCGGTAACTTGTTCCACGAGCACTGCATTACATAGATTCCTGCAGTTACATGTCTACGACGCAACCAGTAACTTGTGCCACGAGCACTGCATTACAGCGATTCCTGCAGTTACATGGCTATGACGCAACCAGTAACTTGGGCCACGAGCACTGCATTATAGCGATTCCTGCAGTTACATGGCTACGACGCAACCAGTAACTTGTGCCACGAGCACTGCATTACACCGATTCCTGCAGTTACATGGCTACGGCGCAACCATTAACAGGAACCACAAACAGTTCGTTACATGGAACCGTGATTTGATGACAAGAAAACAACAGTTGTAACGTGTTACATAAATGCTGTTACATCACATGCAGTTGAGTGTGCAATGGGTTACTAATCTCTTAGTTGCAACGCAGGACTGCATCACAATGCCATATATGTCATAATGAGTACGTTGCTAATGTTGTTCAACGACTTTCTTTACTCATAACATCTAAAATATTTGAAGGTATAAGTTCGCAATCTGAACTCACAACCATAATATGGGTAATAGCCATAAAAAAACATGAACTATTGTTGTGTATGCCATAGCAGCGAATTGAATGTCTATGCTGGTGTACAACGTGAGTTTGGCTTTTTGTTTGGTGAGATTCTATGTGATTGGTCGTACCGTTTCAGACTATCCCTTGCACGTCATGACGAGATTTGACAGGGACATTGACGACATCAACACACGTTCTTTCATTATTGGCTACCGGGATGCTGTGTCACAAATCACCGGCATAAGGAGGTGAAATGTCAACTTATTATTGAGACACCTTCAGTGTGTATGTTTCTCTATATAATACTGTAGCATGCAGATTCTAACACAAAACAATATATTTGTAGTTATGCTAATTTGCATTGTGTGTTTCCATTGGTTATATAGAGTTATTGTAGGTATTGTTATCCTTTTCGAGACTACATTTTACGAAAGATCATCATTGCAACTGGCTTCATCTTTAATCGTGGTTCGTTTTTCAGTTCACGTATCGTAAATGGTCACATCACCGGTGACTCTCTTCGCTTCTTTCTGCTACCCGCTGACAACGTATCGGACACCCTGATGAGCAGGGATGCCGTGGTAAAGCTGGAGCAGGCTGTAAAAGAGCAGAGGCTCAGGGTAGAGCTAGGATTGGATACCTTCACTGCCATTTATATCGGGTTAGTAAAATTGGTGATAAAAATTTATACTTAGAGTAATTGGGAAGTATCAGGAAAACATTCAAATTCTTCTATACTTCATACAGAAAGAATAAAACATGAACGAAATATGTATAATGTATAATGACTTTTTATGCGCTGCTTTTCAATGGTGACGTATTTAAACAACGGTCACTCACGTGTTTGACAGAGATGCTGATCTAGCAAGTGAACATGCTACGGTGGCACCACTGTCTGGAGCCGCCATCGCGTGCATTGTTGTGATCATAGTGGCACTTCTCGTCATCGTTAACGGCATCCTTCTGGTGAAGCTGCGAGTTATCAACCTCCAGAAGCTGAGAGACCGGTTGCTGCGGAAACCACCGCCAACAACTCACGTGAACGGCAATGCGTTCAAGATGAATGGCGTATGACGGCAGCCATTTTTAATGCAAATTTTAGAACATTAAATTTTATGGTGACGATAGTAAATGCCACGAATGTTGCAGGATTGTATTTCACTCACTCGTCCTTCATAGAGTTTATTAAGTTATTGCAGGTTGTCAAGTTTATTTTAGAACGAACGAGAAGTCTGTGTAATAGGTATTTATATACCCGATGGTGATTGTGATTGTGGGTGGTTGCCATGGTGATGAAGTGGCAGACATTGTAAATTTGTGCTTATTTTTTGTACGCAAATTATGACGTTTGGTAAAGCCATGTCTTTATTATGGTACTCGTAAAATAAAGTACTAATGTATAAACTTTTATCGGGTCTTGCTTTTAATGTGTGGCTAACACGTATTTCTTGTGCACTTCCGCAGTTTCTTTTTCTAAGAAGTAAGTTTTAAACATTCTCTCCTGTAGCAGTTCTCTTCTAAGATATGCGTGCGCGAGTGTTTGTGTAAACGTGCACATACGTGCGCGTGTGTATGTGTGCAGGCGTGCTTAGGGAGTACGCACTTTCCTTGGCTAACACTACATCACAAACGACTTTCTCTTGGCACCTCTTTTCTCCCCGACCCCTCATGATTCGCCACGGTATAGTAGTGTATTTAAGTGAACATTCACCGTGGTGTAGTCACACGTGGATGAACGATACGAGACGCAATATCGCACGACACGACACTCCACCAGCTTATTTTCCTGGACGCCACCGCCACTCATTTTGTTGGTGACTCTCATCCTGGTATAACTAGAGAGACTCACAGAGTTACCATAGCGGTGTGTTTTCAGTGACACGATCTCTCTTCCCGTTAACACTACTACCTTCCGGCTGCTGTATTTCTTTCCCTCTCGTTCGTTATGCTCAAGTTGGCAACTCATTTCTCATACTCGGCCAAGGATTTCATTGACTTGTGTTTTCCTTACCAATCACTTATATCTAGGGCGACAGTTGAAGCTTATGTCCTCACTAGTGACATCTGAAAGTCACCGCGCTCCCCGGCATATGGTGAATTTGCGTTATTTGTAAACTACAGTTTTATTCTGCCAAGCGAGTAAATAGCGCAGCGCATGACTGAGCCCACAGCAGGTGGCGCAATAAGAAGGCGCATACCAAGTGTTTTATTCAGGTCATATACATATATATATATACTTATAATATATATTATATATATATATAGTATATATATAAATGTCTGTGTTATATAAGTCAGCGTAATGAGAAAACGGTCAGATAGCACGCGGGAGGGATTCGTTTGTACGGCCTGCTTAAGATACTCGTTTACAGAGAAGGAGTTGTAGGAATTAGACTTTGCCAGCCGACAGAGTCGATACTTGAGTGCTAAATTAAAGACTACGGTAAAGTTTTCAGAGTACTATGCATAAATTTAGGTATGAAGCTAATATATAAATGTTGTGCAATAATGATATTATGGTCTATACTAGTATATAATATATATATATATAGTATATGTATATTAATATATATATATATATATTATTATATGATATATATACACAACGGTATTCGGCCATAACGCCTTCTGTTTGTCAAAAAACATATGTATTCGTAAAATATACCTACCATAAAATACCGCGTAAATTTTATGACGTAATTCTCAGGCAGGAATGAAAGAACAATTAAATTCTGTAGTTTATTTGTATTTACTCCATAAAGCAATTTTTATCGTAATTTTGTTCAATATTCAATTGGTCTTTCATTCACTCTGTTGTAATTTATATAATATTATTATCACTTTACTCGCAGGAAATGAAAGGAAAATTGGCTCGTTCGGTATCCTTTCAAAAACAGTGAATTAGAAGTGTATTTTCTTATTTCACCCTAAAATGCGCGTGCTTCAATCGGACGTCGAAAATGACATATGTAGGCTCAATTGTCGAAAATAACAATTTAGGTAAGAAATTTTGCAGCAGTAGTTCCGAACGCTTGAGAAGAGTGTATGTTTCTAAATATCTGGTAAGCTCTCTAGCATTTGGTGGTTGTTAGTGACACGGCGAATGGGTATGCGCACCCCACTACCTATGGCGGGGGCGCAAAGTATACTTCGCAGTACAAACGCGATCCATAGCCGGCTCTGGCCTGCACCAATATTGTTAGTTCCGTGAACATCAGTAGGCTCGTTACATATTGTTGGGGGAGCGGGGGTAACTTTGCATTGAAAGCCATTGTGGCAATTGGTCTACAGCCTTAAGACTTGAGTTTTACATTTGCGGGTTGTCTGGGCTGAAGAAAACAAGCTGAAATATTATTGCTGAAGTTGAATCACGACACAAAATCGCACAGTGATTTAGCACAGCGTCAAACTTGGCGACAACTTTCATTATTTTATATTGCACAAAATTACTAATGCATTTTCTGGAAGAGCGTGCCACCGGATCCTTCTTAACAAGGAACACGCTACGAAAGTTTACAAGGTGGCACTGGGATAAACTTATGTGATACGCTTTTTTATAATTTGGCCTCCATATTGTACATGTATATCATTTTCAGACAGCAATAGGGTGCAGAAACCGAATGTGAGAGCGTATGGCGACTGGGAGAAAACCGATTAATAAGACGTTCATATTAGCCGCATTTGTAAGCAAGACTAGTGCCAATAGATAAGTAATATAAATGGTACACTACACTTGCTCTTTTACGTAAAATCTAGATTACATGCTATTTAACATCAGTGTATTATATATATAATAGTATGTGTGCTGTGTGTCGTGTGGTGGTGTGTGTGCTGTGTGTGTGGTGTGTGTGTGTGGTGTGTGGTGTGTGTGTGTGTGGTGGAGCTGCGCGCGCGTGCGTGCGTAGCGTGCGTTGCGGTGTGTGTGCGCGCGTGTGTGTGCGCGCGTGTGCGTGCGCGTGTGCGTGTGCGTGTGTGTGTGTACGATATGTTACATGTATACATCAAGTATATATATACCTAAACATATCAAAGTTGTAACCATTATGCACGTCTTTGATGTAGGCTGTGGTACTGGACTCTACACTAAGTATTTCCTGGATAATGGCGTTGGCAAGGTGTCCATGTTTGACGCGAGCGAGGAAATGCTGAGCTACGCTAGAACCAAGGTTGCCGACTACGTCGCGGCTGGGCGCGTGCCGCACTGTGAGCAACTACAGCTTCCCAACCCTCTACCGCAAGGAGAGCAGTACGACGCCATCTGCATGAATTTCGTGATGCATCACCTAGGCTCTTCCGCTGACGACGCCGTCGCGGAAACATTCCCTAACGCTACGCTGGCGCTACGCAATGCCCACGAAGCTCTAATTGAGGGCGGCCTATTCATGATGAGCACACGCTTGCGACCGCAAATCGCAAACAGCGTGTGGTATCACGCGCTCATTGATGATATATATGGTTTATTCTCGGTCCCAATCATGCATCTGGCGTATGGAAACTACGGCTTGTTAGAGAAGACACTGAAGGGTGTTGGGTTCGCCTGCATCGAAGCCATAGTTCCTCTTCATGAAACTCAGATGAAGCCATCCCACTATTATAACATCGATTCGCTGCGTGACCCAGATTTTTTACTAACTGATTCTACGTTTACTTTATGTAGACGCAGAAGCGAGAAGATGGGTTCTAACTTTACAGACGCGCTTTACCAGAAACTGCGCGATCTGGAAGATCATAACAATTCCAGGGAATTTATGGAGAAGCGAGAGGAGTTGAGGAAATCATGCGGAAGCGCGACCGTCATCATTGCCGCGAAGCCATAAACCTCCCAGAATAATATTTATAGCCCCGATGTTTACACAGCTTATTTCAGGATAGTATGCAAATGCAATATGTGTACACTTACAAACAAACAAACACACACACACATACAAGCACGCTCGCGGCGTGAGGGAGGGCAGTGGCAAGTTTGGTTTATGCAAAAACGGCAATAGCCAGTTAAGCGTCCTTTACATATAACACCAGGAGTGAATATTAATAGATCCATTATTATTCACTCCTGATAACACTATTACCATTTTTGTTATTTTTACATTCAAACTAAAAAATATAGGAGATATAAAGTATCCGGTATACTAGTTTACTATATATATATAACTAGTACTGTACGTAGTTCTACATCAGTTTTTGTGTGAAAGCAAGTTGATATACAGTGACACAACAGTGGAAGTGTAATAAAGGGATAGTTTTTGTGAATGTGTGTTCATATTATTTTCAGTTTTTACTGACTCTGGCCCAAGTCTGTGGTGTCTCGATAGATTCTGTTCGCTGCGTGATAACGATCTGCTATCGGTAACAAAATCCTCTAGACGTTTTCGCGTAGAGATGTAGATAGAGATCAAACTGCACAGTGCTTTCATGACTTTTAGGCGTTCGTGTAGACTGTTAGGAGGACAACCGGACTCTACTTGCTACAGAAATATTGGGCAGATATTGTCGCTTGAAGCCATGCATAACATGAGCTTGTTATCATATTCAATAGCTTGCTTGTAGTACTGAGAACAAAGCCATGTGGATGAAGTGGAGACATTGTAAATTGTGTGCTGTCATTTTGTCGTACGCAAAATTATAGACGTTTGTAAAGCCATGTTTTAAATTAGCGTACTCGTAAATAAGCTACTAATTATACAACTTTTATCTGGCGTCTTGCTTATAATGGTTGGGCTACACCGATTTTCTTGTGCACCTTGCAGTTTCTTTTCTAGAGAGTAGTTTTAAAACATTACTCATCTGCATTAGCAGATTCTCTTCTAAGATATCGCGTGCGCGAGTGTTTTGTGTAAACGTGCACATACTTGCGCGCATAACGTGTATTGTGAAGGCCGTGGCTTTAGGGAGTACGCCCCACTTTCCCTGGGACTACACACTACATCACAAACGATTCTCTCTTGCACCTCTTTTCTCCCGACCCCTCATGATTCGCCACAGGTATAGCTACGTGGATATTTAAGTGAACAGTGTCACCGTGGTGTAGGTCAGCACGGTGATGAAGCGATACGAGACGCAATAATCGCGCACGAGCACGACACTCGCAGCCAGCGTTATTTTACGGACGCCACCACCACGATGGGATTTGTTGGTGGACTCTCATGCCTAGTATAAGTAAGAACCCACAGAGTTACCATAGCGGGCGTGTTGGTTCAGTGACTACGATCCTCATCTCCCAGTTAACACTACTACCTTCCGCGGCTGCTGTATTTCATTCCCCTCGTCGTATAATGGCTCGAGTTGGCCAACCTCATGATTCTCATACCGCCACAGGATTTCATTGACATTGTGTTTTCGCATTAAGCCAAATCACTTATTATTCTAGCGGCGACAGTTGAAGCTTATGTCCTCCACTAGTGACATCTGAACAGTCACCGCGCTCGCGCCCCGGCGGGAGCCAGCATCAATGATGAATTTGCGTCTATTTTGTAAACTACAGTTTTATTAACTGCCAAGCGAGTAATAGCGGGGCAGCGCATGACTGATGCTCACAGAGGTTGGGCCAAATAAGAAGGCGCATAACCAAGTGTTTATTCAGGCTCATATATATATACTCAGGAGTAGATAATAGGACTCCTATTATCTACTCTGATAATATATATAATATACCAGAACACCCTATCCGTGTATCTGCGTTTTTTCTCATACGTGACTATATATACAGACCATATTCATATATATATATAATATATATCATGATATATATATATATTAATAATGTCTGTATATTATAGTTCACGTATGATGAAAAACGAGGATACCCGGAGGGGATGTCGTTTTGTACGCCTGCTTAGATCATCATCCCATTACAGAGAAGTGAGTGTAGCAGAATTGACTTCGCACGAGCGACAAGAGTCGATATTGAGTGCAATTGAAGACTACGCGAAAGTTTCTAAGTACTATGATGAATTTAGGTATGAAGCTATATATAACACTGTGTGCATATATATATATATATATATATATATATATATATATATATATATACACAACGGTATTCGGCATAACGCCTTCTGTTGTCAAAAACAATTGTATTCGTAATAATATACCTACCATAAAATACCGTAAATTTATATACGTAATTTCAGGAGGGAATGAAAACAATTAAATTTGTATTTATTTGTATTTACTCATAAAGCAATTTTTTATCGTAATTTTGTTCAATATCAATTGGTTTTCATTCACTCGTTGTAATTTATATAATATTATTATCACTTTACTCGCGAAATGAAAGGAAAATTGGCTCTTACGTATCCTTTCAAAAAAGTGAATAGGTTTTTTTTATTTCAAAAATGGCGTGCTCAATTGTCGAAAATAACATTTAGCTCAATTGTCGAAAATAACATTTAGCTCAATTGTCGAAAATAACATTTATGTGAGAAATTTGCAGCAGTTTCCAACCATTGGGAAATGTTGTTATTACAATAATCCGTGAGCTCTAGCATTTGGTGGTTGTAGTGAACTGGGAATGGGGTATGCTCAGCCCCCCACTACCATGGCGGGGGCGCAAGTATACTTCCAGAAAACGCGATATAGCCGGTCTGCTGACCCAATATTTTTAGTTCCCGTGAACAGGTAGATCGTTAATATTGTTAGGTAACTTTGCATGAAACCATTGTGCAATTGTCTACAGTCTTATAAGACTGAGTTGTACATTTGCGGGTTGTCTGGTGAAAAAACAAGTGAAATATATGCTGAAGTGAAAATCACGCACACAAAATCGCACGTGATTTATCCCGCGTCAAAACTTGCGACAACTTTTCATTATTTTATTTGCACAAAAATTACTATGCATTTTCTGGAAGAGCGTGCCACCGGACCCTCTTAACAAAGGAACACGTACGAAAGTTTACAAGTGCACGGGGATTAAACTTATGTGATAGCTTTTTTTATAATTTGGCCTCCATATGTACATGTATATCATTTTCAGACAGCCAATAGGGGCAGAAACCGAATTGAGAGCGTTATGGCGACTGGGAAAACCATTAAAAGACGTTCATATAGCCGACATTGGTAAGCAAGACTATGCAATAGAAAGTAATATAAATGGTACAATACACTTGCTCGTACTAAATATAGATTACATGCTATTTAACATCGTGTATATATATATATATATGTGCGGTAATAAGTCGCGGTTTTGGCTCTCCATAAATACTTTTTCGGCTGCGGGGCGGCGGGCTCGGTTTTAACTGTGTCTGCTTCCTCCATTTCCAGTATGTTCGACCGGTGGGGCAACATTCGTATGCTCATTATTATTTAAAATACAACATTTCCAAATGGTTGGAAAAACTGTGGGCTTTTATACATAATGTTATGTTTCGAAATTGAGGACGCATTTTTCTGTTGTTCTTTTTCTGAAAGTTCGGGATTTTCCTTTCGTTGGGGGCTTAAAGTGATTATCTGTTAACGATGAATGAAAATTGAATAGACAAAATTAGCGAAATAAAAATGGCTGTCATGAGTTTACAAATAAATAAAAAATTTATTTGTTTCCATTCCCTCGCTGAATTACGTATAAAATTATTACGTATTTTATGTTAGTGGCTCTTGTTGATGCAATTGCTTTTTTGCAAGGGACCCGGGGCAAAGAAGGCGTTATGCCGAACGACGGTGTGTAGTATATATATATATAATCTGGTATATATATATATATATATATAGTATATACTTATTGCCCACATTTATATATTTAGACGTTCATACCTTAAATTCATCATAGGTATCTGAAAAGCTATTCCGGTACGTCTTGTTCAATTGCAGGCTCATTATCGAACTGCTGATGCTGGCGAAGTCAAATTCTATCACTACACTTCCTGTAATACGTATATCTAAGGGCAAGGCGTACAAAACCGAACCCCTCCGGTGTATCTGCGTTTTTCTCATACGTGATATATATTACAGCCATATTATATATCAGTATAACAGTATATATATATATATTATATATCAGTATAACAGTATATATATATATATTATATATGACGCCTGAATAACCACTTGGTATGTCGCTTCTTAATTGGCCACCTCTGTGGGCTCAGTATGGCGCTGCGGCTATTTACTCGCGGTGGCAGAATAAAACTGTAAATTTACTCAATAACGCAGAATTCACCCATCATGCCGGGGGGAGGCGGGGGTGACTTCAGATGTCATTAGTGCGGACATAAGCTTGCAACTGTCGGCCTAGATATAAGTGATTTGATAGGAAAACACAAGTCAAATGAAGATTCTGTGAGAGCAATCACCGAGTATGAGAAATGAGATTTGCCAACGAGTAGGGAAAGAGATCAGCAGGAAGGTAGTAAGTGTTAACGGGAAGAGAGATCGTGTACTGAGAACCCCGGTATGGTAACCGTCTGTGGATCGTTCTCTAGTTATCCCAGGATTGAGAGTCAGGCCAACAAAATCAGTGGCGGTGGAGTCCAGGTAAAATAAGCTGGTGGAAGTGTCGTGTCGTTCGATATTGGCGTCTCGTATCGTTCATCACGTGTGGACTACACCTACGGTGAATGTTCAGCTTAAATACACTACTATAACCGTGGCGAATCATGGAGGGGTCGGAGGAGAAAAGAGTGCCTAAGAGAAAACTCGCGTCCTTTGTGATGTAGTGTTAGCCAAGGCGAAGTGCGTACTCCCTAAAGACCGCCTGCACACATGCACACGCGACAGTATGTGCAGCGTTTACACAAACATGCGCACAATGCATATATCTTTAGAAAGACTGTTCAGCCAGGGAGGGAAATGTGTAAAACTTACTTACTTAGAAACGAAACTGCGGAGTGCACAAAAATAGCGTGTTAGCGGAACGACGACATTAAAAGGCAAGACCCGAAAAGTTTATACTTAGTGTGCTTTATTTTAACGAGTACCACATTATAAAGGACATGGTATTACAAAACGTCATAATTTTGCGTAGCAAAAATAAGGCACAAATTTACAATGTCTGCCACTGTCCTCACCATGGTTGTGTCTTATACTACAGAAGGTATAATATTGAATCACAAGGGCTCATGTATCAGTGGCTCCAAGGAAATATTGCCATATTTCTGTAGGCAAGGTAGAGCGGTTTTGCTCTACAGTGCTCCACGAACGCCCTAAAAGCTCATGAAAGCACTGTGCAGTATTGTTTCTAATTACATCTCTAGCGGCGAAACGTCTAGAGGATTTTGGTTACCTGGATAGCAGGATCGTTATCAGACGCAGCGAACAGAATCTATCGAGAACAAACCACAAGCACTGTGGGCAGAGTCAGTAACAATGAAAATAATATGAACACACATTCACAAAACTATTCCTTTATAACTGTCCACTGTTGTGTCACTGTATATGCAATCTTGCTTTCAACACAAAAACTGAATGTAGAACTACGTACAGTAGGCTCAGTTATATATATAATATATGTAAACTAGTATACGGATACTTTATATCTCCTATATTTTTTAGTATTTGAATTGTAAAATAACAGAAATGGTAATAGTGTTATGCTAAGGAGTGAATAAAATGGGTCTAATTATTATTCCACATCTGGTGTTTATATGTTAAGGACGGCTTAAGCTGGCATTGCCGTTTTTGGCATAAACCAAATTGCTACTGCGTCCTACGACGCCGCGGGCGTGCGGGTATGGTGTGTGTGTTTTATTTGTTTGTAAGTGTAACACATATTCGGATTGCATACTATCGCTGAAATAAGGCTGTGTAAACATCGGGGCTATAAATATTATTCTGGGAGGTTATGGGGCTTCGCAGCCAACTGATGACGGTCGCGCTTCCGCATGATTTCCTCAACGTCTCTCGCTTGCTCCATAAAGTTCCTGGCTTTGTTAATGTCTTCGCAGCTCGGCCGCAGTTTCTGGTAAGGCGCGTCTGTAAAGTTATAACCCATCTTCTCGGCTCTGCGTCTAACATAAAGTAAACGTAGAAATCAGTTAGTACAAAAATCTTTTTTCTGGGTCCAGCGCAGCGATTGATGTTATAATAGTGGAATGGTTCATCTGAGCTTTCATGAAGACGCGGATATGGCTTCGATGCAGGCGGAAAGCGCCAATACACGCGCTTCAGTGTTCTTCCCTCTAACAAGCCGTAGTTTCTCATACGCCAGATGCATGATTGGGGACGCCGTGAATAAACCATATATACTCATCATGAGCGCGTGATACGCACATGCTGTTGCGATTTAGCGGTCGCAAGCATGTGCTCATCATGCATAGGCCGCCTCATTAGAGGCTTCGTGGGGGCAATGCGCTAGCGGCAGCGTAGCACTAGGGAATGTTACTCCGGCGAGCGGCGAGTCGTCAGCCGAGAGCCTAGTGATGGCCATACGAAATTTCATGCAGATTGGCGGTCGTATGCTCTCTCTTGCGGTACGACGGCGGTTGAGGAAGTATGTAGTTGCTCACGTGGCGGTACACGGGCCCGCGCGACGTAGTCGGCAACCTTGGTTTAGCGGTAGCGTCAGCATTTCGTGCGCTCGCGTCAAACATGGACACCTTGCCCAACGCCATTATCCAGGAAAATACTAGTGTAGTTTCCAGTACCCAGCTACATCAATAGACGTGTCAATAATGGTTGAAACTTTCGATAATGTTCTAGGTATATATATATCTTGAATGTATAGACATGTAAGATATCGTACACACAACACGCTACACCGCACACCCGCGCAGCTGCCGCCGACGCACGACGCCACCATGCGGCACGGCACGACGCACATGCGCGCAGCGAAGCATCGCGCGCCCAAAGCGAGGCACGACACGAACCGGCACGGCCAAGTGCGCGCAGAGGCAGTGCGGCCGGCACGCACGACGCGCACCTTCACACACACACACACACACACGATTAGCACACACACACAGCCACGACCACACACACAACCACACGACACAAGAAGCACACACACGGAGCGGCGGGGGAGAGAGGTCGGGATCTGTGGCCGTGTGGTAGGGTCTGTACGTGTGGAGGCCGTTGAGGATACACTATTATATATATATATAACA